TTGTTTTTTCCAGTTTGCTGCCTCAAATAATGCATCCTCAGCTATTTTCCTAGCCTCAGATAGAGCCCTTGTAGACTCTCGTTCCTTTTTCTCCAATGTAGAAACTCGCCCCATCAATTCAGTCCCAATAAGATTAGCCTACGATCATAAAGCATAGAAGTGAGAACTTAGAAAGAAATAGAAGGAAAGCATTCAAGGTTAAGAAAATTACCTTCAAAGTTGAATGAACTATGTCATTCATCAAAGTGTAACAACTATGGCTTTGCATCTTATTCTTTTCAATTTCTCCAATAAGAGGTTGGAGCCAAGTATCAACTCTCCCAGATTTTCTTAAGAGGCTTTGATTAGCAGGGATTTCGAGTGTGACACTCCTCATGGTCATGCTTCTATTGCTGGAACTTACTTCTATATGTGGGACAGATGAAGATGGAACAGCAGAAGGGGGAGTAGTAGAAAAGGTAAACACCACAGGAGTCGTAGGAGTGGGAACAAGAACGGAAGAAGTAGACATAGGAATGGAAGTAGAAGCAATTAAAACTGGTGAAAGAACAAAAGTAGTCAATGCTGGCAAAGAAACACTTACGGTTGGCAAAGGAATGGAAGAAATAGGTGCGAATGAAGAAAGAGGAACTTCATCGAAAACAGGTCCGAGCTCGCCACTCTCAAAACCACTATCAAAGAGATGCTGAGTTGATTCATTTGTGTTTCTTGGCACGGTGTCTTCATCTGAAGGAATCAAAACAGGCTCGGTGGTCGAAGTTTGAGCAGGAGTATCTTCAATTTCATCATCATTAATAACTCGTCTCCTAATTCGTGGCCTAGCTATTGACGAGGTACCTCCCTCTTCCTCATTCTTAGAACCTTCTCCTATAGCTTTCCTTTTTTGAAGCAAGGTTCGAGTCTTGTCCAAATCAAGTGCAGCATTACCAGACATGCGAAGGGCTGTGACAACATCAGCTGTCATTCCTCTGTTACCAAATCCTGATTAAAAGAAGAATACACAATCAACATTAAGAAAAAAGTACTTAATGTGCAAAAAGAAAAATGTATAAAGAAAAGAGGCGATACCGTGTGTTTTAACTTTCCAGCCATGTAAAGCGGAAATTGATTTCCAAGTTCTTTGCTCCTTAGGAGCAACCTTCAAAATTGAATCTACCCAACCACGAAAGTTGGGAACAGGTTCCACATCTCCCATGGTTGCTACAAAAAACCAAAAAGAGACAAATTTAGAAAAAGAATCGAAATTCTCAACAGAAAAAGAGGTACGGTCAAATAAAAAAAAACTTACGTGCAAAATTCCACTTCTCAGGGAAGGGAATATTTGTTTCACCAAGTAAATCCACCGTACGCACAGCAACGTAACGGGCATACCATCCACGATCATTGTCATCTTCTGTACTTACCAAAACCTTCTTGCTTCTCGCAGTTAAGGTAAAGACTCCATGACGTATCAAATTAGGGTGGTATAAATGGATAAGGTGAGAAAAGGTGAAATTAACAGTGGCTTTGGTAGAAAGATATCTCAAACAAGCCACTGCTCTCCATACTAAAGGACCAACTTGGGCCAGACAAATATTAAAGAAACGGCAAAAATCGAGGATGATTGGGTCAATTGGGGGATTAAAACCCAAAGTAAAAGGGTAAGTATAGACAAAAGAGTATCCAATCCTAAAAGAAGAAATTCTTTGGTTTATGGAAGGAATTGACATTCGAAGACTATTTTTCCAGTTACAATCTCCTCTGATGGTAGGGTATTGTAAGGTCGGTTCACTACTGTTAGGAAAGTATCAGTTTTTTCTAAAACCAGCAACTTGCTTTGGAAGAGTTGGGTCTATCACTTAACAAAAGACTAAATCATTTGGTACGATTTCATCAACTAAAGGTTCATCGAGAAGAATCAGGAATTCTTTACCTGTTAGGAAGAAGGAGTTTCAGAATAAGAACTCCTAGAAGAAGAACCAGAAGAGCCGCCTCGAGTAGATTCTAACCCTGTACGAAGGTCGGCTTCCTCTGTCTTTCTATGTCTAACAGGGCATTGGGGAATTTGTCTAAAATTGATAAACTCTTTTAGGGTTTAGGGTTTGGGAGACGCCATTGTTGGGCAAAGATGAATCCGAAGGAGAGCAAAGTATAAGGAAGGAAATGTTTGCTAAAGATTTATGGAAAGAAGACAAAGAAGAAAAAAGGTTAAAGTATGTTATATGATGGCAACCGTCAAAACTTAGAAGAGTAATGTGGAAAGTCTATAATAAAGGCAACTATCACTTGTGAATAGTGGGAGTAACGAAAGCCTTGAAAAAGGGTGCAAAATAGCAGAATCAATCCAAAGGTGACCACCATGGACAGAAACATTAAATGGAAAAAACAATTGAGACGTCAATATGTCATACGCATTGATTGTCGAGCAAAAATTTCCTTTTTATTGAGAATCCCTTCCCAATTATTTAATTGATAAAATAAATGAAAAAGGTGGGGACTATCTGTATTGGGAAAAAGTTAATTTATATGAAGATGAGTTGGCGACACGTGGACTGGACAAATAAGTCAAGTATAACAATTAGAAAAAGGTACGGGAGATGACAGGTACGAGAAGAGGAAGTGAACAGGCACGAGAAGCAGTTTAGATACGATTTCGTATCAATGCGAGTCATTTAAAGCCAGTGGATCACAAGGCATTGAAAACATGGAATCTGAGGACAAAAAGGAGTCCAAATTCAGTATTAAATACCTGATACGTTAGAAAATGGTATTTAATAGAATGATGGTAACGGCTCATTTAATTATCATTTATTGTCCATATTGTCTCATTTAAAGCTTAGGTTTCATTCCTTTATCTAGAATCAACTATTAAAAGGAGGAAGTTGTTTATTGTGGAAAAGATCATGGATTGACATTCAACTGAAATAAAAACTTGTTCGCTGCTTTATTATTATTCTCAGAAAGCCTATTATTCTTTTTTGGTCTTCTTTGATTATCAGTAACCGATTTTTCATCTTCAAATTCTAGTTTTTAACCGAAATTATGATTTTTTGTTAACAGCGGCTAAATAGGCAATCACGCCCACAGCCTCCGACGGAAATCGAAGAAAACAGGTATCGAAGACGAAGAAAGAGGCATTTCCTCATTCTGGAACTTAGTCATCCGAAGAGTCCGACTGCAACCAAATCACTGTCCGAGGAACTGGAGTAGGTGATATCTGAGTCGAATACATTGCCGAGAGAAAGGTATACTTAGGAACGGGATTTAAACCCCCGAACTCAAGAAAAAACTCAATTCAATTTCTTATTGATAATATGATTTGATTTGCTTGGTTCCCATTTAGATTATGAGAGGTATTCTACTGGAAAAATAACAACACAACGGGTTAAGCCTTCGACCCAGTTCAAACCAGTAAAGCAAAAAAGGGAGGCACCCAGTCGAGGTGAAACATGCGTTCAATAAAGCACGAGGTAACCAAACATTCTTACAATAGGGTCATATTCGGGAGGTAAAATACCCCTGAATGGTTAGCCAACGTAGTCATATTCCTAAAAATGGAAACAAACTAAAATGCTGCATAGATTACAGGATTTAAACAAAGCATGCCCGAATCTCTCTCTTTTTTNTGTACTCTCTTTATATAGTGGATTGCTCATCTCCGCCGAGAATGTAGGTCAGTTGACCGTAACCACGTTCTATGTTTGTGTCTCTTTTGGTATAGTTTCTCTTCGTTAGATGATTTATCGTCGTTCAAGGTTTGTTTTGCCAGCTTTCGCATGACACCTGATTTTTTCGGTCATAACAGTCACATGTCAAACTTTTATTACATCGGATTGGAGATTGGAGTGTCATAATAGAGCGGCTCTTTGACTATGAGAATTTCCTCCTAACGGGATCACATGATATGGGTCTTCGAGATTCAAGAATATTGCCGAAGATAACGATGCGGAAGATCGCTGAAGAAAAAAGAGACCCTTATGTCTGAAGTCATGATTTCTTGGCGCTCTTCTGGAAATGCTTCTTAAAATCAAAATTACTGTTTTGTCATTTTTTGAAGATTGGAATTCATGAAATAAAAATGGAATTACATTACTGTATTGGAAAAAAAGTTGAATTTATATTGAAGATGACGTGGCGTGACATGTGGACTGGACAAATGGTCAAAGCGTAACAATTGAGAAAAAGGTACGGGAGATGACAGGTACGGGAAGAGGAAGTGAAATAGGCACGAGAAGCAGTTTAGACACGAGTCTCGTACCAATTCAAGTCATTTAAAGCCAGTGGGTCGAAAGGCATTGAAGACATGGATCTGAAGACAAAAAGGAGTCCAAATTCAGTATTAAATACCTGATACGTTAGAAAATTGGTATTTAATAGGAATGATTGTGTAACGGCTCATTTAATATCATTTATTGTCCATAATTGTCTCATTAAAGCTTAGGTCTCATTCCTTTACCTAGAATTAACTATAAAAGGAGGAAGTTATATTGGGAAAAGGGCATCATTGACATCATACTGAAATAAAAACTTGTTTACTGCTTTATTATTATTCTCAGAAAATCTATTATTATTTTTTGGTCTCTTGATTATCAGTAACCCAATTTTTCATCTCAAATTCTAGCTTTATCCAAAATATTATTTCTTTGGTGAAACAAGCTCAAATTCCTTGATTCAAGCAGTAATAAATACAATGTGGATATGTGGTCCTTCCCACTCATTGCTGACCACACCATCTTCAGAATGGCCAAAAAAGAAAACAAATAGTTTCCAGTACACAAAAGCTAAATTTGTTTAGTTGATACTGCAATTCGTGCCTGGATTATCACTGAATCAACCTCTCAAGTAGTCGAATATAAAGACCAAATATTCTAAATTAGAAACAATACGAATGGAATTTATTTCTTAAAAATGATCAGATCCGCACATATATTATAATATATTGAAGGTGGGCAAAATTTTGATTATACGATGATTAGGTTAAACTAGGTACAATAACTCAAGGGAATTAATGTTCAGTTTCACTACACTGACTGAGCAAATACAGCTTTCTTGTTTTCTCTGGTTCTTCCCAGCTTTCTCCTACTAATTATTTCACCCTTAGCAACCAGCTGAGGTTCTTCTGATATACTGGACAGCCCTGAAAAATTAAAAAATAGAAAAAAAGTTCACGTGTACCATTAATTCACCAAAAATAATTTTTGTCAGTCACATACTCACATACATAATAAATTTGAAAAGCTGCAAAAATGGTTTACATTTTTAAAACACATTTGGACTTCTCCGACGGTGAATTTTTTTTTTTAATATATAATCATGTCATTTTATAAGGTAATTACAGGTAAATCTCTAGGTTAAACATTTAATAAGTAACCTAACAAAATAACGACTGACAGGTTAAGTACACTAATAGAGTAAAAAAAACATTTACACTATTAGTGTATATAATAGTAACGCTGCGTATAATAGATCCGTGTGGTTCGGCCCTTTCCCAAACTTTGTGCATAGCGGGAGCTTAGTGCACTAGGTTGTCCTTTACTATTAGTGTATAAAAGGGCAGCCCGCTGCGCTAAGATCCCCGCTATGCGCGTGGTCCAGGGAAGGGCCAGACCACAAGGGTGTATCGTATGCAGCCTTACCCTACATTTATGCAAGAGGCTATTTTCACGGCTCGAACCCGTGACCTCCTGGTCACATGACAACAACTTTATCAGTTAGGCCAAATGCTCTCCTTAACTTAAATATGTGGCTGTATTTTTATAACTTCCCACAACATAAAATCTTGAAAAATACCTTCCATGAAACTCTTCCTTTGCAATAGAATTCCAGTAACTCTGCCATTCTTCTGCTCCTTTTGGCTTATTTCATGTGGTTGATTTGGTTTTTCACTGAGATCAACAAAAGTCTTCAATTGAGCATTTTTAAAAAGCCAAGTTGACTCCATCTGCTTATTAATCATTCTAACTGCATAATAAGGGATTCTCATATTTTTCTTCATTGAATCCATCTTAAAACAACAGTTAACAAACATAATACAATCCATCAAACTCTCTTTAGCCAATCCTTTCATATCATATGCTTGTGATCTTCTCCAAAGACTTTTGGAATGAGAATTAGTTGGAGATGAAATAGAAAGAGCTTTTGTTGTATCACTTATAGCATCATCAACCTCTCCTAACAACAATTTGCATTGTGCTCTATTGCTATAAAGCACAACTCTTTCTTTTCTGAATCTTAATGGACATAACTCCAATGCCTCATTATATTTCATTAGTGCTTCTTCAATATTTCCTAACCAAAAACTGTGGTTCCCTTGTTGCTTCATTAGACTTATCATTACCCTTTTCTCTTCAAGTTTTTCATCACTCATATTTTTCTCCCTTTTCTTCTTATCTACCTTCAAATCCCATATTTCTTCAAGAATTTGTTGAACACTAATATTCTTGATTTTTACCTTTCTTTGTTTGAAATCTGAAAGAAGAGTTCTTGTGATTGTATTACCAACATTTGATTTCCCTCCAAGGGTCTTAAGTTCAACCAAATCAACAAGACACATGGAAGCTAGCTCAAGAACTTTGTACCTTGTACCTGTTGAGACATAATATGATTAAACAATTAGAAGTGTGCTTTCTCTACTAGCTTAAGCTTTTAGATGAGGTGATGCGCATGTTGAACATAATATAAGTAAATAGTGAAAAATGTGCTCTCTTTAACAACGTTTAGATGAGGTGGTGACACAGTTCAGCAGTACCTGAATCTGCGAGAAGCAGTAGTAGGCAATCTATTCCCATATATTGCCAATCATCTGAAGATCTTGAAAGATTACAAAGATTCTTGATCACATCCTTTGACTCTGCTATATATCTTCTTCCATCTTTGTTATAACACAAAACTCTAATTAATCCAACCCCTCCTGGTGAAGTATCATTAGCCAATCCACCCCACATGTCACTCAAGTCCTTGAGAAATTTTTTCTCACAAATGAGATTTAAGCACCTTTCTTTAATTGCAAAACAATTTAGAAGATGCAAACTCCAACATTGAAGCTGACTAGCCCATTCCTCAGCTTTCCTATTTTCCATTTCAAGACCTCCAACTCCTCTAGTCAACAAATCACAATGATATTTTAACCTCATACTTAAATCCTTTACTCCAACAAACTCTTTGTACACAACTTCAAGACATGTGGAAGCTAATTTCATAGCCAACTTAACAATTTCTTCCTCATAAATTGCCACATTTTTGAAAGTTTTTTCATAGCTTGCTAAATGACCAAGTGCTCTAACAGCTACCCTTTGTTCAACCCAAGTCATATTTCCCTTCAAAAGCTCTAACAATGGTATTAGGACACCTGAATCAACTGCTTTAATAGCAAACTCAACATTGTTCATAGTATAAGAACCAATAATATGAGCTGCATAATAGGGAATATAAATGTTCTGATTTTGATTAAGCCAAGATTTGTAAGTAATACCTTTGTTGATTAAGCTTGCCATGCATTCAAAGATACCGAGAGATGGAAGCTCTTTGTCATTAGGTTGTGACATAGCCATGGTCCAAAGGCCACTTAATACTAGCACAAGTTCTTGATCTTCAATCAAAGGCATTTTTTTGAAGTAGTTCTTGATTCCATTGCTCCTAATTGGTGAGTCTGGTTCCTTAATAATGCAAAAGAAACAACCACCAGGGTTATAGCAGCATTTCTCATTTACACTAGGCGTAGTGTTTGGCACTTTATCTTTTTTCTTGAGAGAATTCATGGAAACAAGAAGAGTTAAACTTCCAGTACTCTAGGGTTTTCTAGTGTGTGCGCGCGAGTGTTATGGTTCAGGGTTTTACGTGTAGAACTATGCAAATTAGTACAAATAAAGGATAATAGTAGCTAGTAGGCAGAGGCGGATCCAGGATTTTAAGTTTATGGGTTCCTGTCGCAATTTCAAATTAATATACAATAATAACTGGGTTCACAAATAGATATTTAATAAAATTTTTAACAAAAATCTAGAGTCTACGCAAAAGTTACTGGGTTCCCAGGAACCCGTATACTACACGCTAGAACCGCCCCTGCTAGTAGGAACTTTATCTAAGTTGTGGCCTTTTGGAAGTGGAAACATTCAGCCGGAGCATCAGAAGGTTTTATATTAATTAATAATGCAGTAACTTGTAGTACGTAGTAATTACTTTACTTTTATTTTATTTGTTAGGATGATATGAGTTGCAGCTTAAATTAAAAATGTTGATTTATATAGCCAATCTTAACTTGTTTGCGACTGAGGCGTTGTTGTTGTTACGGTAACTTATAATAGGGTTTCAGTTGCATGTGTGCTGCTTCTTCTTTTTCATTTTTGGTTTCAATTTTAAGACTATAAATATTGTATACTGACCGGATATAGATCTTTTATACTATCGCATTATGTTTAATTTATAACCATCAGTAATTCCTCATTATATCAATCCTGATATGATATCCTAGAAGAGTAGTAATCGGTTAAATTGTATTGATAGTTGAAATTTTATTTGCATCGTTTATAACTTAAAATATCTACTTTAATATACTCCGTCAAATTAAAGTTTCATTTCAAGTATATTCAGTTTTAATCAATCAACTTATAAAAGACTATTGGGTTTTGCTTAATTTATTTTATTTCAATTTTTGTTACTCAGCAAAGCGTTTATGGTAATTCGCAGATAATAATTGAACAAAAGTCTTTTTCCATTTGAAGTGCATCGTGCTGCCGTTAGCAAAGTTGGCTCGTACATAATTTTCAATATTTTAGCTTGTTTTTGTTTACGTTTCTCCTGTTAGATATGTTAAAAGTTTTTTTGTCTTATGCGTAAAATAAATGGGGATATGTGCAAAGCTTGAAAGTGAATCTTCTATATTCACATAAAATATTAAAACAAGAAAACAGTAATCTGCATCATTGTGGCAGGAATTGAATTTCTAATGTTGTGAATCTTGTCCATTACAATTTGGTTTATATATTTTGCTAGTTGCTGAATTTATACTCTGATATAAGATTCTTGTCACTGTCTTCAGGTATCATTTGGTAGTTTGCAGTAAAATTGTTAACGAGAATGAGGAAATAAATCTCATAACCCATTCAACCTGATTCAGCAACATGGCAATGAGCAAAAAAAACACTACTGCATTTAAGAAAAGATAAAAGTATACCCAACTTTCACAGTTCCACAAGATAATCTAATCTTTTACCAGTTTCTTTTTTTTAGCATTATCATATTATGGACTACAAAATTCAGAGAAAATATTTGTTTTAAGCTTCTAGTATTCCACTTGTCACCGGTTCAAATCATGAAATTGGCCACTAATACTTGCATCAGAGTAGGTTGTGCTTATATCACACTCCTTTGAGGTATAGCTCTTTCCCGGACCTTGCGTTAACATGATATACTTCGTGCATCAGGCTACCCTTTTTTAAGCATCCAATATCTGGACCCAGTTAAACCCAATTAAGTTGGATTTGCGCCAGGTAGACCTATCAAATACTGGGATGAAGTCCTTGTCAGGACTGAAAAAATCAGGTGTCATGCGGAAACTAGTAAAGCAACCCTTGATCGACGATAAATCAGACAACAAAAGAGAAATATATCAAAAGAGACACAAATATTAACGTGGTTCGGTCAATCGACCTATGTCCACAACGGAGATGAGCAATCCACTATATCAAATGAGAGTACAAAATATCGAGAGAACAACCTCACGAAGAGGCAAACACAAGTGACACACTAACACTTGTCCCGTAAAGTTCTTCCCATAAACACGACTCTCAAACCCCATATGGCTACATTGTGGATGCTACTGAATGAGAAGGAAGGATCCTCAATTTATAGAAGTGCAAACCTTTTCCTACAAGAAAAAGGACTAGCCAAATATGGGAGATTTATTTCTTTCTACAAAAAGGAAAACCCAATTACGGTAGATATGTTGCTCTTTCCTTCAAGAGATAAGAAACCAAATATAATAAGAAAATCAGGACAACACCTAACAACCCCCTATTCCTAGGATTCTAACTAGAGACTTTTGATTGAGGATATAGGATTTTCACTTATCCCGCCAAACTCCTTGGTAATTAAAAAATGTATTTTATTTAGAAAATTATCCTGGAAGTGATGAGAGGTGATACAAATCTTTACCCGTGTATTAAAATTCAATAAGTAAATGTATACCTCTACATATTTTGATGAGCAGGCGCAATGCCTATCAATAAAACAACCTATTCTCCATGGTAAATGAACGGTCAAAATATAAAGTATTTCAAAATTTTATACGTACTTAAAAAGGTCATACTATCAAACATCTCTAAAACAGTCATCCTTTATAACAACACTTCATTATAACGGCTAAGTCTTTTTAGGAGCTAATGTTTCATGTTATGCTATAATATACGTTCTACATAACATCACTTTATTATTGCAGCCAAAAAATATCGAAACAAACGAGACTGTTACGGAGAAGTGTGACTATACTTTGTATAAAATTCTAATGATACAGCAGATCTTTAAAGTTGTGGGAAACTTCCAACGATTATAAATCTTTTAAAGATATTCTTATAGACATAATTTTGAGGAATATGAATTCCTTTATATCCGTAGTGAGACTGTGGTCCCTCAATTTAATTTGAACACTTGATTCCCAGATAACAAAAGGAATCAAGTACAAAAGGGGAATGTCTCAAGAAAATGCGGCTGCTAATATGAATAGATGAATTAGAACAAAAAGCTGGTAATTAAGCAATCTTGGTTATATTAATTTGTATAAAGAATTAGGGTTTGCCTACTAAACAAGTATCACCCGTGCCATTTTATCATGATGATTTAGTAGTAACACATAGTTCGGAGGAGGACATCTGTTTCCTTGGGAACCATAAATTAGACTTTCTTAATCTATATGAATGATAATAATTAGGCGTGAATTATAGGTGCTTTTAACCCTAAACTCGTGATAAAGGAGCCTCATCTATGTAATCTATTTAATTGGGACGTTATCTATTTAGATTTTAGAACAAGCTTTAACAATTACCTATCGTTTTTATGACTTGCCCTTATCTCATTTCTTGCGTTTTCAACTTCAAATGCGTTTGTTTTCATGAGTTTTCTTTTATAGCGGTGAGTAAGTTTGTTTGATTTCTTTTGCGCATTAGTTGGTCACTAATTATGTTATAACTCAGTTCCACTTCTTAGATCATTTTAGCAAATTTTGATCTACAATTTTAAAATACTAGACTAAATACCTATCATGAAAGAAGACTAGAACTGACTCGGCATAGGAACACACCTTTTTATAGACGTAAATGTGCTTTCATATCTTTAAAAAAAGTAGCCCGATGCACAAAGTATTCCGTATTTACGCATAGTCCGGAAAAGGGCCGCACCCCAAGGGGTGTGTTGTAGACAGCCCAACCTAATGCAAGTATTAGTGGGTGCTTTAACGGCTCGAACCATTGTCACACGTGTTGGGATCGAAATTATGGTGCATGCAGAAGCCAACAAAGACAACTTTGATGTCGATAAATCAAGCATAAAACAAACATATCAAAAGAGACTATCATTTAAAATGATTTGGTCAAGTGACCTACATCAATCTACTAATGCAAAAAAAATTATGGAGAGAATAAATTCTCCCCCTAAACAAACTTCTCTAAAAGACTATATTGTGGATGTTGTGTTGTTGTCGCGAGAAGCAGAGATCCTCAGTTTATATATGACCAAAACTTTTACTTCAAGAAAAAGATAAGGTATATGAAGGAGATTTATTCCTTTCAGGAGTCTTTTTCCATTCTTTCAAGAAAGAGAATCCTAATTAATAGATTAAAAATATAGGCAAAATCCTAATAATTCTTCCTTGGCCTAAAGTTTCTAAATAAAACTTGATCTACTTTCTTCACATAATCTTTATCATTGATGTTTGCCATGATTAAAAATAGGTATAGGTTGAAAAATCTTAGTATTGGTTGAAAGAAGCCCGAGAATGAGTTAAAAGGATCCCACACATTAAAAATAAGTATGGGTTAAAACCGACATCGATTAAAGCTCATGCAATAAAAATAAACATGAGTTAAACTGACATTGGTTAAAAGTGACCCAAACATGGGTTAGAAAAGTTTTATTTCTATAAAGAAGCAGCAGCAACGGTTTTGAATATTTGTGATTATAATTGATCTCCACATGTAGCATCTCGTTCAAAAATTTTGTATAAATTTTTATTATCGTCAAATCGGTTGCACCTTGATTTGGATCCGCCATGCTCTTATCTTCACCAATTGGCTCTGCTTACAACTTGTTGGGCTCGAAATAATATGGTTCATGCGAAAGCTAACAATACAAAGTTTGGTGGACGATAAATCAGACAAAAAAGAAGATATACTAAATGAGCATACTATATTAATATGGTTTGGTCAAGTGACCTACCTAAATCTACTACTAAAAAAAAGTTAATTGAGAGAATAAATTCTCTCCTAAATAAGCCTTAATGACTACATCGTGGATATTTTTGTTGTTTGAGAAGTAGAGATCCTTAATTTATAGATGACCAAGACTTTTTCGCCATGAAAAGAATAAGTCATATGAAGGAGATTTCTTTCTTTTAGTCTTTTTCCTTCCTTTAAGAAAGAGAGTCGTAATAGATCAAAAAATCAGAAAAAATCCTAACAACATGGAGATAATTTTACCGTTGCTCTCAATAAATATACTTTCATATATTCTTAACCCGAAATTACTGGGGAAAGAAAAAATTCCTTTT